TGTTCTTTAGCTGGTATAAAGACGTATGCACGTGACTAATTTCTTACTCAAGATTGGATAATTGCTTCATGAATTATTAATGAGTTTTTGAAATATATTTAAATTGTTTTCACTCGAAATACAGTGCCAAAAATGAAATACAGTGCAAATTTCATTGACTATTTAGCCTTTCTGACAAAAACAAAAATAGCCAATAAGATACAGCAATTTCCAACAGACGTCATAACAAAAAAAACCCAACATTTAGGAGTATATAAATATAATAACAAACGGGTGGCCGGTTGCAGTTTTGAATTTATTTTCCAAGTAAAACCCGCGGTAACCAAAAACAACGCGTTTTACCATAGTAACGGTTGTCATAGTAAATTTGTTGTAGTTTCTGTGTTTTTAAACTTGAGGTTTTGTGGTTTCACTGGTTTTGAATTTCGTCTTTCAGAGGGCAATCTTATATAATTGTATTGGCTGCAGTGGTCACAGTGTTACGACAGCACTCGTTTACTTTGATGAAGTAAACGTGTTTTGAGAAGCATTTATCGTTTGTATAATACACATTAACGTGTTGTGTGACACAGTTGTCGTATTGTGAAACGCAGACCTTCCCTGAGGTAATTGTAAGTTTTGGTATTTGAATGTGTTGATTTAGTTGTAACATTAAGGGTCTTATAGGTCGATTTACACTAGGCAAATTTATGAGAAAATACACTCATTTATTGGGTATAGTAAATCTTTACTAAAGTAATTGAGTAAATTTGAAACTTTACGAAAAAATGAGTAAATGTGCTCATAAATTTCAGTATAGTTTTACTCAAAATTTGTCACTCTTGAATAAAAATAATGATTATATAACAGTTTTGGAAAAGGCGGGAATGAATTGTCTCGAACATAGAAGATATAGCCAATCTTTAGTTATTGCGTAAAAGTGTTTTACTGGCAGCGGTCCTGCTTATATTAGAGAATTTTTAAAAGGACGTGAAACAGTGTACAATTTAAGAAATCGTGGAACATTGATCCAACCAGTTTATAACAATTTATATTATTATAACT